GCTAAGAGACAACTTCACCCAGTGCCTTCTGCCTAGTAAGACCGCCTCCCCCTGCTCGCCACCCCCACCCCAAGGCTGAGCCCCCAGGAACTGTGTCAGCACTTCCCTAGTCCTAGAGCATTGTGCCCACCCCTGAAAATTCCCAAGATTCACTAGAATATCAACCTCCCCTGATCCCTACCCCCATACCCCGCCTCTATGGGAGGTGGTGACATCCCCACGTGAGAGCTGGGGCAGGAACAGCCCTTCCCTTCCTCTCTGAATCCACAGCTACAGGAAACACCTGATGTCCCCACCCTTGACCTGCCCCCCTCTGGCAAGTGCTGCAGCTGGGTGACCACACAGGGGATTCAGAAGCCCAGAGGTATCAGAATGCTTGGCCATTCCACTGCCATCACCCACAACAGCTTTCACGGGTATGATGCAAATGAAGTAGAAATCAGCTGTGATTTGTTCTCCTTCTGTCGGCTTCTCGCTTAATCTCTTGATCAGGCTGCCCTAGGACAAAGGGTTTAGTTTATTCTTCTTGTCGTTGTTTAGTCACTAGGTCGTGTCTAACTCTTTGTGACCCCATGTACTGCAGCACTTCAGGCTTCCTGCCCTTCACTATCTCTCAAAGTTTGCTCAAATTCATGTTCATTGGGTCAGTAATGCCATCCAACCATCTCATCCTCTGTCACCCCCTTCTCCTCTCCTAGGTCTTTCCCAGCATCTGGGTCTTTTTCAGTGAGTCAGCTCTTTGTATTATGTGGCCAAAGTATTGGAGCTTCAGCTTCAGCATCAGTCCAGCCAATGAACATTCAGGGTTGATCTCTTTTAGAACTGATTGATTTGATCTCCTTTAGGATTGATTGACTTGATCTCCTTGCACTTTAAGGGACTCTCAAGAATCTTCTCCAGGTGGGATGTTCTGAGAGAACAGCATTGAAACAGGTATACTATCAAGGGTGAAACAGACCACCAGCCCAGGTTGGATGCATGAGACAAGTGCTCGGGGCTGGTGCACTGGGAAGACCCAGAGGGATGAGATGGGGAGGGAGGCGGGCGGGGGGATCAGGATGGGGAACACATGTAAATCCATGACTGATTCATGTCAATGTATGGCAAAAACCACTACAATATTGTAATTGTAAAGTAATTAGCCTCCAACTAATAAAAATAAATGAAAAAAAAAAAAGAATCTTCTCCAGTACCACAATTCAAAAGCATCAGCTCTTTGGCACTTGGCTTTCTTCATGGTCCAGGTCTCACATCTCACATCCATATGGAAAAACCATAGCTTTGACCATACACACCTTTTGTTGGCAAAGTGATATCTCTGCTTTTTAATACATTGTCCAGGTTTGTCATAGCTTTCATTCCAAGGAGCAAACATCTTTTAATTCCATGGCTGTAGTCACCATCTGCAGTGATTTTCGAGTCCAAGAAAATAAAATCTGTCACTCTTTCCACTTTTTCCCCATCTATTTTCCATGAAGTGATGGGACCAGATGCAATGATCTTAGTTTATTAAATGTTGAATTTTAAGCCAGCTTTTTCACTCTCCTCTTTCACCCTCATCAAGAGACTCTTTAGTTGCCTAAATCACAGCCTGTAAACATCATGGTGAATGATACCCTCGGGAAGAAACCCACTTTACACTGTGACTCAGATCAGTAGGCTCGTGGTGTGTGTGCACAGGAAGTCAGAGCGCCCTAAACAGTATCCCAGCTGCAGGTGAGGGACCCAGAGTAACATCCATAATAAGACTCAGAATCACGCCAGTGGCTGCAACGGATAAATGCCTATTCTGAACTAGTATCACGTGTGTGTGTTGGTTGGTCAGTCGTCTCTGTGACCCCATGGACTGGAGCCCACCAGGCGCCTCTGTTTTTGGGATTTCCCGGGCATGAACACTGGAGTGGGTTGCCATTTCCTTCTCCAGGGGATCTTCCCAACCCAGAGATGGAACCCACATCTCCTGCACTGGCAGGAGTGTTCTTTTACTGCTCAGCTACCAAGGAAGCCCCTCCTCTCTGGTCAGGGCATTGCAGTCTCAAGGAGAGCTGGGAAGGAAAAACACAGGGTACTTTGGGTCTCTACAGAAGGTGGGGCGGCCACTCATACTTGTCCAGTCTTAGGACTAGACATCTGCTTCTGATCCCAGACCCACACAGGACCATAAATAACACTTTGTTTTGCCATAAACACCCCCTACCCCGCTACCTTCAGTTACCCATCAGCCCCCGCCCCAGATCCTGAGCTCGCAGTGACCCTAATTCCAAGCTCATATGTACCCCTGAACCTCAGCAATGATGACCTTCCATTCCAGGCTCCTAATCCAGTTGCATACTACCCTGCCAACCTGCTTGCACAGGGGCTGAGCTTATCCCAGCTAGCCTTCTGCAGATATCCCATGTCCTTGCTGCTAGCTGCGACAGCACAGGGCGCTGTGGCCCTTGAGGACGCTCACTGCGCATCTCCAGAGGCAAGAGGTCAAAGGCAGGTTTTAGGACCCCTGGTGCTATGGACGGCAAGCAGTTATCTGGGGAGAAAACTGAGAGCTAGAGAGAAGTGAGCACTCTTGTAGGGGCCAAGCTCTCTGCCTGGAATGCAGCAAACTCCTCTTCGTCCTTCATGAGCCCATCTTGATAAACCCTCTCTGGAAGGCCTTCTCTTACACCAGCAGTTCTCAACCCTGAATGTGCATCAGAATCACCTGGGCCCCAACCCCAGCATTTCTGGTACAAAAATGTGGAGCCCAGGAATGTGCATTTCTGACAGGCTCCCAGGAAAGCCTGCTGTTCTAGGGACCGCACTCTGAGAACCACCACCTTACACCATCTCCACCTTCCCAGACATGCCCAGGCAGCCTCCTCTATGCCTGTTCTGACCCGTGTGGCAGGTCTGGCCAGGCTGAAGTGTCAGTACCATGGAGTCAGTCACACGGTGTGACTTGAACAAATTAATCTCTGGTCTCTACACACAAGCCAAGAAATTCTCCCCCAAGTGATCCAAGCCCTTACTTCTGGTCCTCACCCAGCTCACCTAGGCTCATCACTGGCCAGGACCTGCAGAGTTAAGCGTGCCAACCCGAGGCTGCTAAGGCTCACACAGGAGAGACTCCAACCGAGGGAAATCAGTTACACTTTTCTGGAGCTTAGCTTCCAAATCTGTAAAAAGGGAATAATAGTGACTAGTACTGAATGGGACTGTCACAGGGACTATTTGAATTAAAATACCTCAATGTCAAGCAATTGGCAATTGCTTTTAAAAGAGAAATAACACCTTTCTAATGCTGGCTGCCTTGGTCAAACTTGACTTAAGAAAGGCTTGCCTTCACCTGGAAAATTCCTCACAGCAATCTTGGGTATTTGAGCTTCTATACCCATCCACGCCGACTTAAGGAAGGTTCTGGCCTTTCTTACTTACTCTGAGGGGCTCGGTAATCTAGTAAGTTCCAGAATGCTGGCTTCTGAATGCATTCATTTGTATGCATTTCTTTATCCTAGGAATCATGCATTCACTAAATGTTTATTAAGTGCCCACTCTGTGCTAGAGACTAAATCCCAAGCTGCATTTGATCACCCTGGATTGAGGAGCCCAGCATCCACTTGACCTTCCCTGTCTGTGCCTCCCTGCCCCGCCTGATGCCTGCTCTGTCTCTACTGACTTGAGGCTTCGTTTTCTCCTCTCCCCACCTCCAGGCTCTGTGCTGGCCCCCGGGCCCTCAGCCTGGCCTTCCCTCCTCCGGGGGCCTCAGACCTGGAATCCCTGCTTCCTCCCACCACCAGCCAGCTTCTTATCAGAAAGAGGCATCTGGCAGCTTCACTGGGGAGAATGACCTCATCACACTATAATTAAAGCCACTCTCTGAGCGGAAATGACTATTATGAAGCAGCCTTCTCTGTTTTAATAGCAGGCACCCTTGTAATGGGAACATGGGATTTCCATGTGAACACTGAAGTTTCCGTCCTCTAATAAATCCTTCCTCTCACGCATCTTCCAGAGGGGAGGTTCCTGCTCTCCTGCACATCCTAGCCTTCTGTCCAGATCACTCAGCTTTGGAAAAACACACTCAGTAACTTGGATAGTTCCACAGAGTGCCTCTCCCACAGAAGAATGCAGAGGCCTGTGTAGGGTCTCAGAGAGGGATCTCTGGGAGGGGCATCTTCAAGAGAGATGAGACACAGGGCCCCTCAGAGAAGGCAGACTAAGTCCTGGCCTCCAGCCTGACCACCAACCAGCTATGTGATGGTGGGCACATCACTCTGAGCCTCAGTGGCCCACCTGTGAAATGGGCTAATAAAAGTGGTGGTGATGTCGCTCAATCGTGTCCTGCTCTTTGCAACCCCATGGACTGTAGCCCACCAGGCTCCTCTACACATGGCATTCTCCATGCAAGAATACGGGACTGGGTTGCCATTTTCTCCTGCAGGGGATCTTCGCGACCCAGGGATCAAATCCTCATCTCCTGTTCATCTCCTGCATTAGCAGGCAGACTCTCCCACTGCACCAATCGGGAAGCCCCCAATATACCAGGCGCCTGGTATACTAGGTGGACAGCAGCTAACCCAACAGCTGACATATGCGGACGCCCCGCAGGTGGTCTGCTTTTACCATCATCACGAGAAAAGCTAAGTGCAGGGCCAGGTGATGCTGCACTAAGCCCAGTTGGCCCTGTCATCACAGCCTGCCCAGGTGTCTGCCGAGCAGGTACAGGCTGCACCTCTGGGTCGGAGGTGCAGTAGGGATGCAGCAGGGGCCCTCACGTCCTGGAGATGCCATATGGTGCCTGACGGCCCCAGGGCTCACACAGCGCTCTCCGGCAGCGGTCAGCAGCCAAGCAGAGCCCGGGCCCTGCCCTGCGCTCCCAGCCCGAGGCCTGTCCGTGTGCCGCGCGGTTCCCCGTGCACCCTGGGCCAGCGCACCTGCAAGCAGAGGCCGCGAGCTCAGTGGAGGCACTGCAGGGAGTGGGGAGCCATCCTTTCTCATCTCGGGCTCTTCTGTTCTATCTGCAGAGCCCAACCCTGGGATGGCCTCGAGTGAGATGGACATCGCTGTCATTGCAGGTATGCAGTCTTGGGGCCCTGCAAGCAGGCAGGAGGGTCAGAGGAGAGACTCGGGGGAGGGCCTGCCGTGGCCTCACCTTCCTTCCCGCAAAGGAGGTTAGAAGGTGGGCTGGGGACTCGGTCTCTGTAAGAAAGCGTCCAACACAGCATCCTGGTGGCTGAGGGGCCCGGACGGCCAAGTCAGGGCCTGTCAGGCCCTGGACCCACAGGGTTGGAGTCTGGAGGGAGAGCCGCTCCAGCGAGGAATGTGCAGGGCTGGGTGGGCTTGAGGGGCTGACCACGGCGCCCTGCCTTCTTCCCCAGCTCCCTCCAGCCACGCTCTTCCTTGCCGTGTCTTACACTCCTGTCCCCCTATTCTAACCCTGCTCCAGCCTTGCTTTGAACCCCATACTGGCCCTTGCTGGTCACAGCTGTGACCCCAAACTGTTTCAGGACCCACTAGGTCTGTGAGATATAGCTTTTGGTGTCCTGAGATTCACACGTCTCCCCTAGTTCATTCGTAGCTCAGGGAACTTCATGATTAAATATAAATAGATAAAAGCAGGTGATCACGCTGTGCTCTCCTTCTCACTGGGCAGCTGCACCTTCTTTTTCTTAGATAATGTCATTCACATCATGCAGACAGAAGTGCCTAAAGGCAGTGGGAAGTTGAGGAAATTGTACTACAAAGCTGAGACTGGGTTCAGCTAAAGCCTCCACATATTTTCCAACAGCACCTCCCTCAGTAAACCCATCTTCTAAGTCAAGGCAGAGGGTTTCTTCCACACTTTAAAGCAAACACCTTAGCTTGAACCCCTTCCCAAGCTGTGAGAGTGCCACCCGCTGGTCCTACCCTAGCTCTTCCATCCTCCCCACTCATCCTATCTCTCCAAGACCGAGTGACCTGGTCCTTCTGACTAGCCCTGGCACTGCACCACCTGACCCCTCCCGCAGAAGCACAGGGAACTGGATTGGGGTGAGGAGCTCAAACCACATTTCACCCAACCTGCCCCCGACACCATGGACAGCCCTCACCTCCTCGCCGTCCTCCTGCCCAGAGGACAGCCAGCTGAACTGGTCTTCCCAACGCCATGCACTTCGTGTTCCATGCTCTGTTGCGATGGCCCAGCTTTTAAAACCGAGAACTCTCAGATTCGTAAAATATAAGAGAAATACTGAGGGATGGAGTGATGCCCTCTGCAGGGGAAGGCTACTCTACTTAGAGGAAGTGGTAGAGACTTATGATTCAGAAGGCAGCATCCAAGTTTACCAGGAATATAAGAGGGGAAAATATTTTCAGCAAACAGAACATTTGCAAAGACATGGGAAAATGGTCAAATAAAAAGTGTTTGGAGAAATACAGATCAGCCAGATGGACTCTGGTAAGAAGAGTTTGAAAATGATTGCAAATTCTTAATACTGAGGTGTAAAAAAGTTTTAGAGGGGGCCATTCATCTGAGGTACTAATGATAAAGAACCTGCCTACCAATGCAGGAGATGTAAGAGACGCAGGTTCAATCCCTGAGTGGGGAAGATCCTCTGGAGAAGGGCATGGCAACCCACTCCAGTATTATTGCCTGGAGAGTCCCACGGACAGAGGAGCCTGGCAGGCTGTGGTCCATTGAGTTACATAGAGTCAGACGCGGCTGAAGTGACAGCACGCATGCATTCATCTGAAGACTGAAGAACTTTGATTAAACATGAATGCTTCTTGGAAGGGAAAGATATCAGGTGTTAACTGGTGATTTCTGAATAGAAGGATTAAGGACATTTTCATCTCCATTTTCATTTCTCTATATTTGCCAGGTCTTACAAAAGGAGTGTGACTTTATAAAATAAATTTTTTCACTCTTTTAATATCTATATGTAAAACACCTAACTCTTTGGAATTAAACGTATTTATCTCTTAAAAAAATAAAAGTTTCAAGTCCCATGAACTTCTAAGTTTTAGACAAAAACATGAGTTGAGTTCTGTGGATGATGCTTGGAGGTCTGCCCTCCTTGGTGGACCAGGAGGGCCTCAGAACAGGGTCCGTTCTGAGCTGACTCCAGCCTCAATCTGAGGCTGCTGCGTGGAGGGAGCAGGGAGGCCGGGGGTCGCTTAGCCGGGCACAGGGGCGGCAGCCTGTCTGGGCTGGGCGGCGGCAGCGCGCCTGTCCTGGCATGCCCCGCGGCCCCGCCCCTGCCCACGCTGAGCTGTGCGCTTCCGTCCGCAGGCGTGGTCGCCGCCGTGGCCTTCGTGCTGGTCGGCCTGCTGCTGCTGATGCTGCATTACCTCTATCGGCACAAAGGCACGTACCACACCAACGAGGCCAAGGGCACGGAGTTCGCCGAGAGCGCGGACGTGGCCCTGCAGGACGACCCGGCCGTCCGGGACGACGGCGGCGGCAGCAAAAAGGAGTACTTCATTTGAAGGATGTTACCAGGACTCTGCGCCCCCCTGCCTCCCCGTCCAGGAAAGAGCCCGTCACCTGCAGCGCCGGGCAGCCCTCAGCGCCCCTACAGCCCAAGACACGCACCTCACCCGGGACTCGGTGCCTCCCGGGGTGGGGTGGGGATCGAAGGAGGAATCCAGCTGGAGGGGCTTCTCCCAGGACCCAGGGACGCTCAGCCAGAGGGAGGAGGTCCGAGCCCTTCTGGGCTGTACAGGTTACACCTGCGTGGGGGTGGAAGTCCTCGCTGGGTATGAGTGGGGTGGTGGCCCGGGGGCGCAAGGAGTGAGTTGTCATCATGCTGACTGGGGACAGTGGCATCAAACGTCAGCCCTTGGCATTTGGGGGGAACAGCAGGTGCCAGAGCTCCAAGGCACCTTTGTCTCCCATAGATGCAGCTCTGGATGATTGGAAATAAATTTGAAATGTAACGGAGCATTCAGAGTCAAACGACGTGACTGTGATTGTTGTGTTCTCTGATGAACTCTGTGAGCTGATGCTGGGACGCAGCTCCGGGCTCCGCCGGGCGGTTATCAGAGAACACGGTCTATGGAGGTGGCTTCTGGGCCCCATGAGGGAGGGAGGGACCAGTGACCAGCTGGCCTCTTCCCCACATGAGCACAGCTTCAGGAAACACATATAGGGGTGCAGTGTCCCTCTAGAAATAGATTGTCCCAGCCCCGATGGCACTGGCTGAAGCGTTGGTTCCCAAATGCCTGGTATTAGAAAGAAAGGACCTACTAAAAATATGGGTGAACCTCATCAGAAGAGCATTCCCAAGCCCAGTTCCAACATGTGTGGGAAGGCTTCCACACAGCAACAGGCAACTCAACTCAATTCTGACACTGTCTACCCAGAGACAGAATCAGACTCCACAGGTAAAGGACTCAGTCCCACAGGATCACCCTCATCTCAGATGTCACCTGTGCTTCCCACCAACTGGCTAAAACTGGAGGTGCCAACTACTCCCTCCCTGGGTTCGATTAATGTGATAGAAGGGCTCATAGAACTTGGGAAAATCAGTTTACCCATGATTTACTCAGAGTACTGATTTATTATAAAAGGTTATTGAACCCACACTGCAAACTATGATATAGGGTGGATAAGTAACAAGATCCTCATTATAGCACAGGGAGCTATATTCAATATCCTATGATAAACCATAATGGAAAAGAATATGAAAAAGAATGTATATATATATATATATATAACTGAATCATTTTGCTGTACAGCAGAAATTAACAAAACATTGTATATCAACTAAACTTCAATTTTAAAAAATCGATCAACCACAGATTTTTAAAAATCCATCAGAGATGACTGACCATCAACCTCGAGACCCATTTGCATTCCAGAAATCAACGGGGTGATACTAAAAGTTACAAACCTTTAATTGAATAGTTGGTCCCCCTGGGAAGCAGCCCACAACCTTAGGGCCTTCCAAAAATCACCTTATTCAAACAACAAAAGACACCTTTATCATTCTCAACACTTAAGAAATTCTGAGGGTTTAGGGAGCTCTAAGCCAGGAACAGTGGCCAAAGATCAAAATATAGGAGCAATACATCTTGGTTATTTGAATGAGCAAATACATATTTATGATGAGTCACAGTATCTCATCATCCTTCCCATGGCCACAATTGACGATGATGGCTCCCGGTGGCTGAAGTGCAGATGGCCGAGCCCCGTCTCTGGGTCTGGGACCTGGCCCTCCTCTCCCTGGGTCTGGGACCTGACCCTCCTCTCCCTGGGTCTGGGACCTGGCCCTCCTCTCCCTGGGTCTGGGACCTGGCCCTCCTCTCCCTGGGTCTGGGACCTGGCCCTCCTCTCCCTGGGTCTGGGACCTGGCCCTCCTCTCCCTGGGTCTGGGACCTGGCCCTCCTCTCCCTGGGTCTGGGACCTGGCCCTCCTCTCCCTGGGTCTGGGACCTGGCCCTCCTCTCCCTGGGTCTGGGACCTGGCCCTCCTCTCCCTGGGTCTGGGACCTGGCCCTCCTCTCCCTGGGTCTGGGACCTGGCCCTCCTCTCCCTGGGTCTGGGACCTGGCCCTCCTCTCCCTGGGTCTGGGACCTGGCCCTTCTCTTCCTGGGTCTCGAGCAGCTCACTTGACCTCCCTGGTGGACTCTTGGGGTCAGTGGCAGGAACGACTGTGTTGGGTGCTCAGAACTAATTTTATATTATGGGTATGTATCAGTCAATGAAAGTTCCTCAGTACATCACTTCTCAATGGTTCCTCAGAAGCGTTGTTATTCAGTCGCTCAATCATTTCTGACTCTTAGCGACCCCACAGACTGCAGCACACCAGGCTTCCCTGTCTTTCACCATCTCCTGGAGCTTGCTCAAACTCATGTCCATTGAGTCAGTGATGCCATCCAGCCATCTCCTCCCCTGTGGTCCCCTTCTCATGCCCTTAATCTTTCCAGCATCAGGGGCTTTTCTACTGAGTAGTCTCTTCACATCTGGTGACCAAAAGTATTGGAGCTTCAGCTTCAGCATCAGTCCTTCAAATGAATATCCATGATTGATTTCCTTTAGGATTGACTGGTTGGCTCTCCTTGCAGTCCAAGGGACTCAAGAGTCTTCTCCAAAACCACAGTTCAAAAACATCAATTCTTTGGTACTCAGCTTTCTTTATGGTCCAACTCTCACATCCATACATGACTATGGGAAAAACCATAAGTTTGACTAGATGGACATTTGCAAAGTAATGTTCTGCTTTTTAATATGCTGTCTAGGCTCATAACTTTTCTTCCAAAGAGCAAGCATCTTTTAATTTCATGGCTGCAGTCGCCATCTGCAGTGATTTAGGAGTCCAAGAAAGTAAAGTCTGTCACTGTTTACACTGTTTCCCCATCTATTTGCCATGAAGTGATGGGACCGGATGCCATGATCTTAGTTTTTTGAATGTTGAGTTTTAAGCCAGCTTTTTTACTCGCCCCTTTCACCTTCATCAAGAGGCTGTTTAGTTCCTCTTCACTTCCTGCCATAAGGGTGATGTCATCTGCGTGTCTGAGGTCATTGATATTTCTCCTGGAGATCTGATTCCAGCTTATGCTTCATCCAGCCTGGCATTTAGCATGATGTACTCTGCATATAAGTTAAATAAGCAGGGTGACAATATACAGCCTTGACGTACTCCTTTCCCAATTTTGAATCAGTCAGTTGTCCCATGTCTGGTTCTAATTATTGCTTCTTGACCTTCATACAGATGTCTCAGGAGACAGGTAAAGGTGGTCTGGTATTCCCATCTATTTAAGAATTTTCCATAGTTTTTTGTGATCCACACAGTCAAAGGCTTTGCGGTAGTCAATGAAGCAGAAGTAGATGTGACTCCTCAGGAGTAACTATGAGTTAAAGTGAACTTACTAACCATCCTCTTGCATGAGGGTCTTTCTAAGAATCCCAGCAACTCAGCGATCACTCATTTAGAGACTAGAAGCTCTAAGATAAAAGACTGCAACCCAGGCAACCAGGAACTCACCAGGGCTCAAGTTTCTTAAGGCTGAGTGGTCTGCATAGGGAGTCAGCAAAAAGAACTTGCAGGATTCTCCCTAGGGGAATTTTGGGCTCAGGCAGGAATGGCCACCATCTAAGGAAGCTGGAGTCACAACAGAAAGAAGCAGAGATGGGAGAGACTTGATCCGAAACTGGGGCTTTTCCCTGGGTGACCCAAGCTCACTGGCCCTCCACACTCTCTTCTGTATAATAAAGGGTTTGGCTGTATCCATGTCCCAAACACCACCTTGGCAAAGTGGCTATAAACAGCCCAAACCGAAAAGCTGTTCCGTGCAGATAGGTTTGGAAAATGGTCTATTTTAAGAAAGCTAAACTAGTGCAAGTCCTCCGGTCATCTCCAGTATTCCAGCCTATGCATGACGCGTGGGGAGAGTCAGGCAGCACTGCCCAAAAGGGCCAGAAACCCCATTTCCTCCCAGAACACCTCTTGCAAACTGTGGACCAAGAATTCCTTAGAACACTTCTAGGAAACACTAAGTGACTTCTTATATCCCTTCCTGTTGTCTCATCACTTTAGGATTTTGAGAATATGTGGGCACATGGCCTCATCTTTAAGGAATGTGAACACAGATCACATCCAGTGGGCACAGAAAAAGTGCCCAGAGCCCACACATACAAGTGACGCCAAAGACCTATCTCTGTGCACCAGTGCCAAATTGAATCTCAGAGACAAAATTTGGGTGAAGTAGAAAAGAATAGTTTTATTGTTTTGCCAGGCAAAGGGGGACACAGCATGCTCGTGCCCTTGAAAACTGTGTGTCCCAATCCAGAGGGATTTAGTGAGGAGTTTTATAGAAATGATTCAAGACAGTACTTGCTGATAAAGGTCAGAGTGTGTGCAGGGCCTGCACTCCTTAATCTGGCCTCAGGTGATGTCTTGATGAGCTTCTGTGGTTCTCTCGGTTATCAAACTGTGACCTACACTCTAGAATGAAGAAGCTTCATCAAGTAATTCACCTTCCATTTGTTGAGGGTCTTAGTTCTACATAAGAGCTCAAAAATATTGTTATGTGTACCCCGTGAGGTGGCACCAGGACCCTGCCCCAAGGCTGCACTATTGTCTCTTGGCTGCTCTTTGTCTGCACATCCCTTCCCTCCCCTGATCAGCAACCGTTTGAACCTGCTTTTTGGAACTCAGGGAAGGTCATGGAGCCTGGAGTGTGTTCCCTATAAACAGGAAGTGGGGGACGCAGAAAGGCCTCTGTGCTCAGGAGCCCCACAGGATCCTGCTCGGTCTGAGAAGTGCCTTCCTTTAGAAGGGCTCCAGGGAAACAAGGAGCCCCTGAGTCTCCATGAGGGCTGGTGCCTGTGGGGAAGAGGAATGCGCATCAGCCCTCATTCCACAGCCCCAGGAAGCCTTTACTGACTGCAACTTCGCCAGCTGGCCCATCGGACCTGGGTTCCTGGCCCCTTACTTCCTCAATCCCCTCCCCTCAACCTCATCCTCCTGGCCTACCTAGCATCCTGGAAAACCTTATGGAAGCACATCTTGCTCCCCAGCCCAATGGGCCCCAGGCCCAGCCAGAATCAGAAGCAATGATGAAGCCACACAATCCAGATGGGGATTAGAACCACTAGACAGTGGTTTAACTGAGATCACACCTGGTCTCAGAACTTAATGAAGCTGAGGTTCTTAATGACTCATCACAGAAAGAATTCAGTGAGAGACCAAGTGATAGGCAAGAAGTAGATTTATTTAGAGAAATACACGTCCTGTAGACATAATATTGTCCATCTCAAAAGGTGAGAGCAGCCTTGGGAGAAACCCACTGCATGGAGTGTGGGCCACCTTAAAAGGTGTGCGTGTGCTTTAAGTTGCTTCAGTCATTTCTGACTTTCTGCGACCCTATGGACTCAAGTGGTCCAGAGCCCACCAGGCTCCTCTGTCCGTGGGATTCTCCAGGCAAGAATACTGGATTAGGTTGCCATGCCCTCT